TATTTCATGATATTACTTGCAATACTCTCCAAGTAATAGCACTCTTCTCACTTTCTCCCTGGGCCCCTCATTTCCATTTGCCCATATTTCCTGCCCCTTCCTGCCTTCTGAACTTTGTTGCTTGGCCAGTGCTGTCCTTTTGGTCTTAAATGATTGATTGTTCGGAGCAGCATGTTCCTCATGGCTGTTATTGTTTACTATTCAGGTCTATTGTTTGGCCGAAAGGTGATCTCTGGGAGTAGGTTCTGTTTCAGGTTTGAATGGTGTCTAAGGACCATAGTGTTACAGGTTGCACCAGTCATGATCAGACCAGTGAGTCTGATCTTTTTTATGATTTTCAATTTTGTTCATTTCTCTCCTACTCTGTCCAGACCTCCTATTGTGATTCCAATCAGAGTGGTTGGTAGTACTAACCAGGGACCATCTAGTTCTGGTCTCAGACTAGTAGAACCTATGATTCATGTGGTGCATTAGACCTTTGGACTAACTAATTTTTAACTTGAGTCTTTGAGTTTCTTCACTCTTCTTTATCCCAGATGGGAAGAGGCCAATAGTTGTATAATAACTGTAATATTTTTACTGCTTTTCAGAATTTATTATATACTTCCTTCCATTATTGTGGTTATTTTACCACATGTAATTTCTCACACTAGATTGAAAGCAATATCTAAGACTCATCTTTGTCCTCCAAAAAGCCATAGCACAGTGTCTCTTGTATAGTACTTGATTGTTATGTGAAACAACACTACTTTAATATGTTGTTATTTACTGGTAATCTTTATATATGAAAAAGAGAATTCTAAGAATGACTCTTATGAAAATGAATGATAGGAAAAGAGGAAAAGTCCAAAAATGACTCTATAAATTTAGTTCACTTTAAAAGTCTCATGAAATCCTGAGCTCTGAGAAATGAACTGTAAAGCTAGTATTCAGAAATGTAAATCTATGAGGATGTAAGAAAAATATGTTATTTTTGTTTTCATTTGAAGTCAGCAGGATAACATTCTTTGGAAGGAATGACAAAGAAGATAACTCAAAAAACTATAAAGAGAAATCTTTCTGTAAATTGAAGAAAGCATCTTATGAATAAGAACAGACATTTCATAAATTAGGCAATGAGAATTTGTCTTATGTATTTAGAAGCCAAGCACTTATTTTTCTCTCTAAACTATTCATTTGTTCTTCCATTGACTCTAAAGTTTTACAGAGTAGCTTTATTTCTTAATAATAATATTTAGTAGCTACTTAATTATAATTGCAATTTGAATTTGAATTACAATAAAAAATATTTACTTTGAGAGCCAGAGTTCAGCTGGACTGGTACAGATGATGGCTGTGGCCTTGTCAATGGTTTTGGAGGTATTTCTTTAGCCTGGAAGGAACAAAAAAATAAATTCATGTAATTTAAAAACCCTGTTTTTACTTAGGAGCATATAAGGGTTTTTTGTTTGTTTGTTTTTTAATCTTTTAATGAGTACATGTTACAAATTTTACTCTATACACTTAATAAAACTTTGAGGTATTACTTTGGGCCCATATTTAATTGAGTTAGAGGACAAGAAGCAGGCATAGGAAATAGCTATGCTCTTTTGCTAACTGGAAGCTGACCTAACTGAGGATCATCTGACCATCTATGCTAGATTTGGGGGAATTTCAGGTACAATGATTGGTTTCTCAATTAACTGGGAGTGGCAGGGATGTATTTCAACTCTTTATGCTTGAGTTTTCATTCTGCAAAAGGATCAAGTCAACTTAAAAGAATGTTGTGGAACAAGATGAATAATGTCCATAAAACCTTTGACACTTAGAGCCTGACATACAGTAAGTACTCATAATTAGTAGCTACTATTGATAATATTATTATATAATATTACAAAATATTATCCTTTGAGAAATGCAATCAGGGAAAGCAAACTATATTTCTTCTTGAAATTGTTGTACATGAAATGTCAAGGTTGTATGGCATTTCACAAGAAATAAACGAAATCAAGAGAAGTTTACTAGATTATTAGGAACTTGATATCACAAGAAAGAGTCTGTATAAAGAAAATTCCTGTAACCATTGAGAGAAATATAAAAAGAAAATATTACGGAAGCCTTCTTCTCTTCCCTTTCTGCTTTTCTTGCATTAATTCGTTGTTCTTCATTTTCATACTTTTCGGTAAAGGAATCAAGAATTTCATAAAGATCTTTTGCTTGAGCCGGCTGTGGGATACCTCCAAATAAAATGTCATAAGCGCGAATATCTTGACAATAAAATCTAATAAAAAATATCAAATTAAAGACATTTCTTTTATAGGCATAAGATTTTTTCCTAGCATTGACTATAATGCATATGATATAAAACACTCTTCAAAAACTATCTACACATCCCAACCCATGTTTGACCCCATATCCACCCTTATAATAGTCTGATATACATCCTTTCTCTATTAATATAAAAGGTATATCCACATATACATACACATTATATATATATATATATATATACACACACACACAAATATACACACAAGCACATTTTTATAAGCTTTTATAAAACTTTTTTTATTTTTAAGTTTTTAGACAAAAATGCTATATATATCATTTCACATCTATTCTCTAACTTATATTTCTCAAATTAATAAAACCAGAAGTACAAATTTATCTATTGATTTTATGAAATTAAGAATTAGGCAAACTTTTGTTTCTTCCCATTCTTTCCAATATTTAGTATTATCAAATGTTCTATTAAATTCTTGAGTAAATTGCCACGGTAAAATTTTGTAAAGTTTGCTCTTAGCAGTGGTTGAGTTTGCTGTGCTATGAATGGTAAATTATGTGTCAACCACAAGCTGCATCAGTTCTATCAGTCTTGAAATTAGTAGATGCATCAGTTCTATCAGTCTTGAAATTAGTAGAGTTTCTTCCAGGTTCTGGAAATAATTCAGTGAGTATGACTTTTTTGTATCTTTTTTGGGGTCTTTATAGATATTTTAGTGGCAATTTGGAAGCGCTACCTTGGGAAAAAGCAACCAGATGCCAGTTTAAAGCAGAAGCTCCCCTTTGCATCTCTGGATATTGTCAAATAGTACCATAGTGCCTAAGGCACTTGACTGCTAACCAGAAGGCTGGTGGTTCAAACCC